GCTGCGCAAAACTCCGCATTTGAACAGTCAATAGCAAATACTTAAACTAATAACAAAACATACTTACATACTTACAACATATTTTTTTTAGAAATAGCCTTTGTGCACAGCCAGCTTTGTACTCTTCTAGGTTCAAAAAACTGTCGTCCATAAAATGCGTTGTACAAATTCGAACATCTGGGTTGTGCTGTTCTGTTGTAAATAAATCTTAACCAATGATTCCTAATTGCATCTACTTCCGGAAAGCCAAATAAAGTGCTTTTGCTTTCGCACTGAAACACACAGCGTCTCCCTGACATGGCTGCATCAACACTACTGCTGTTCCTGAAACCACGCCTTCTTTCTTTGCGTGCACATTTGGGTGGCATTATGCTAATATTTCCACATAGTGACATAGACATGTGGGGGCATGTTTAGGTAGGTGTGGCTGACTCTTAACTTTTATAAAGAATATCTCTTTGGATTTGAGACTTTAGTCTTTGCAACTTTACAGATCTTCTTTATGCACCAAGAGCTTGTAACACTCCAAAGAGAAAGGAAAACTTGAAATCGCATCATATGACCCCTTTAACAGTATTCAGAAAAAAATAGTAAGCATTAAACTAAACTTATAGTGGCAATCATTATAACTAACATTGATTATAAATGGCGAGACTAAACTAATTTAAAACAAAACTGAAATGTAACATTTTAATTGCATTATATAAGTCACCTTTATATTTCCAATAATAAAAAAAATATTTGTATTCCAGAAAATACAGTACAATTTATTTTAGATGCATTTTCAATTAAAAGTAATATGCATGCTTCATTTAGACATTCATTATGTCTAAGTGTACAAATGACATCCCAGTTGTGTTTAACCAACATGCCAGTAAAGAAAAGGTAGATTGTTCCCTTGGTATCCATGACATTTCCATGAATTTAGACACATTAGCATGTTGCTGTGTCCCAGGGAGAAGGCAGAACAGCAGTTATTGCACATGAAGGCACAACACAGCGAGGCTCAGCACAGCCTCCTTCACCAGCTGCACCTCGAGAGCAGCCGTCTGCAGGAGCAATCCGAGCAGCATCGCAGAGAAGTTTGTGCATGGGAGTCAAGAGTTCAGGAGCTGGAACAGGAGATGCGCCGGGAGCGTCTCCTCAGCACCGAGCGCTGGAGTGAAGAGCA